GTCAGAAATCCTTCATGGACAAGAGGAATTAGCCTGAAGTTGTGCAGGGGAGGTTTAGGATGGATATTAGGAAATCAGGGTATTGTGCAGTACCTCACCTGGCAAATAGGACCATGACAAACTACAGTGCAAACCCCGGTTTAGGCAAATTCCCATCTGTTTAGTTAAGATAATTTTAGTTTACTACTTTTTCTTTTTTTTCTGGCAGTTGAGTGTGCACAATTAACTGCAATCTTGGCTTGGCAAAAAAAAATAAAGCACCCTAATTAGCATGTTAAGCCTCCTCATTTCCCAATACTGTATAATGTTGTGAAAGCTAATCTATAATGTATTGGATGTTATGCAAATTCTCCGTACTCCATATGGGGTTTATAAAGGCATGCAAATTAAAAATAGTGTTTGGAATAGGACTGGGGGGAGGGGAAAATTTGCACAATAAAATATGCGGGTAGGAGAAAAGGTGTTTATAACCTTCTCCCCATTGTTCCTGTATTCTCAGCTGCACAGTGCTTTTGAAAGCGGAGAGATGTGCTGCATAAAATCTCTCCAAATTGGATAGTTTTTAAATGAAATTTAAAATGAGCGCACTCTTCTCCGAGCAAATCGTCCCTGCCACTCTTTCTGCTGGGCTAGTCGTGGGTGGGTGAAGGCACTCAGCTTTCACTGGCCTGCCTTGCAGTCGTGCACAGCTCCTTGGAGCACGTTTGCCTGGGTGTCACCTCGCCACCACTCGGCTGCCCAGGAGGCTCCACGGAGGTGGCTTGGCCAGGACCTGGTCGCTCCCCATCAGCACAAACCAGTGGGGCAGGCGGGCACACTACCTGGAGCACCCAGGGTGTTTGTGGGGTGTGCTGTGATCCCGTTGATAATTGATAGCCCTGCCTATAAGTGGGTGCAATGTGGCCATGATACAGCTGGCTCTTCCTGGTGGAGAGGCAACATGCCTGTGCCAGAGCCCAGCCAGCAAACCTCCTGTCCCCTGCGGCTTGTCGCTGCCGCCCGCCGGCTCTGTCCGGCTGGGCACAGGCAGCCTTCCCCCACTGATGCTTAATTAGATTACAGCTGCTGCTTAAAAATAGCCGTTTTACAGAAATAAAGTCCTGGCTGGTGCCAGAGCAGCCCTGTGCAGGCCAGGAGGAGCAGTGCTGCCTCTGCCTGGCCAGCCAGGAAGCTCTGCCAGCTCCCGCGGTTTTTTTTGGCGAGACTGGCGGCTCTCTCCACCTCAATGGCTGGTCCATGCTTCTGTCCCCACTGGTGGCCTCAGGAACGCCACACTGGGTCACGCTGGTGCAGCCCATGGGGCATTCAGCTCAGGAGCTCTTGGACGTGCTCATCTTTCCCATGGTAGCCCGTGGCCTGCCTGGGCTCAGCCAGGTGCAGCCTGTCCCCACCCTCCATGGAGGCATCTTCCAGCTGCTCTGCTCCCAAAGGACCCTTTGGGGTAGTACCTCTGAGGGCAGCACTTTCAACATCAGCCACCAGCAGGTCCCAGGGCCATCTCAGAGACAGCTTCTTGGCAGAGAAGGGAATGGGGCTTTTCTTCAACCAGCTGCTGCTTCTAGTATCTGCCTGCCCCAGGCATGGCAGGTCTCATCTGTTCCTGCTGCTCCAGGGCTCTGAGCCCTCTCAGCCTGTGGATACTTCCCTAAATGCCACCATGTATTTAGCCTGTAGTTAAGGTGTTCTGTTTAGGATGTGCTGCTCTTTCTCCCGAGTCTCTTCTGCTCTGCAGAGGGTCGTGCACTTTGGGCAGTGAGCAGCAGGAGGTGAGGCTGGCACTGGGGCATGCATGGGCTCAGCTCCGGGGTCTCCTCTGCTGACAGGAGGCGTGGGTGGACCCCTGCAGGAGCAGGGAGCCTGTCTCATGGAAACGTGAAGGAAAAACCCAGAGACTTGACACAAGGAGGACATGGAAATGACAAAACCCAACTGAGGGCTCTTGAGGTGCCGCTTGCCCACGGGGGAGGGCTGGGGTGCCCCTGGGCTTGCGGGTCACCTCTGTCAGCAGCTGCCTTCACCCTGCCAACATTTCCCACCCTGGGCACTTGGAGCCGACGTTTCCATGTTCACTGATCTGTCTCACAAAGGTCTGTGCTTGCTTCTTTTCTGCTGCAGTTCCCAGGCCCATCCGAGCTGGGGTTGCTCCGGGCTCGTGTGGTGCCTCTGAGCAGAGCCCCTGCAGCAACCGACTGCAGGAGCCAGAGAAGCCACCGCTGGCGGGGGGACAGCCACCACAGCTGGCAAAACCTCCTCCAGGCACCCCCCCAGGGGTGCTCTGCTTCGCAGATATGGACACACACACAACGGGGTGTGGGGTCGGGGGGGCCTGGAGCCCCCAGGGTTTCACCCCAGGGAGCCCGAGCTGCTCCCTGCGGGGCTTGCTGTCTGTTAGTGCAACAGGAGGGGTCCGGGCAGGGCCAAGCCGGCGTGGGCTGTGAAGCTACTGTGGAGGCCTGTGGCTGCACCAACCGGGGCGATTGGCCTGGCTTTGTTTCTGCTCCCTGCATTTAACAGTGAGTGCCGATTACTCAAAGCGATATGGGCAGGACCTGGTAATAGAGCGTTGCTGTAGCATTAACTTAAGGGGATGATCCAGTTGCCTGCAGTGTAAATACTTTGTGGCCAGGAACCCTGCTTTATCGCTTTGTATAGTATTAAAGTAGTTTAAAGATTGAATAACATAAAATAACATAATATAATGTTATTTATGTTATTTCCCACGTGAAGAACTCCTGTAAACCTTGCAGTATTGAAACTCAGTGAACAAGGCATCTTAGACAAGCTGAAAAACAAATGGTGGTACGATAAGGGTGAATGTGGAGCCAAGGACTCCGGAAGTAAGGTCAGTCGCTGAAGGTCTTTTTGTACTGATTAGCAATCACATTTTGACCCGCTGTTTGTTTATACAAAGAATGGCTTTCAAAAGTTGATATTTACATTTGGAAGGTTGAAAGAAAAGAATAGAAAAAAATAATTAAGTCTCTGAACGTGGCAGCATTTTTCTTTTATGCAGTGACAGGCAGTAGTTGTAAGTATGTTTTACTATTTGAGTGTTTTGCTAGGAAAAAAAAAACATGGAAAGAGACACCCCCCTAAAGCCTCCCAAGCTGGTATCTTCCTTTAGAAGTGCAAGTTTCAGCACAGTCAATGTGTATTATTCAGGCCAGCATCTTTTCTTATTTTGAGTTTTATTTTTAAAAAACACGTTTTTGTTTCAAAATTGTGACTTTGGTTCTCTACATGTCAATTTGGGAACAGTTATGTGCTTGCTAAGGGTGACCATTTGCAGGACAGACCTGTGATAAGGGAAGAACACCCTTCCTGCCCTATTCCCCAGTTTGGTTTGGAATGGGCTGGATTTCTTGAAACAAAAATCTAGAAATGCTGTTGGTAATTCATTCCATAAATATTATATACTCCTTTTTATTCTGCTTTGAACCGTTTTGCTGCTGTACTGCCCTGTCCCACTCCAGCCATGCTGCAGGGCCAGCCAGCCTCCAGCAGCTCCTTGGGCAGGATCCCAGTGGAGATCCCACCCCTGAGCTGGCAGGTGGCTCAACCCAGTTACAGGAAAGTTTCCTTTACACCATCCAGTTAAAACAAGACACAGAGGATTTTTCTTTTTTTTTTAATGCTTATAGAGCCATTGAGGAGAAGAACACTGCAGAAGTGCTGGGCTTGCTGGAGTGAAGGACGTTTTCAAAGGCACCAAGAGGAGGAGGAATCCAGCTCCAGCTGAAATCAGTCGCAGTCAAGTGGCTAACTCCCCTGGTGCCTTTGGAAGTGCTCTCTATAATCATTCAACAGAAAACTATAATTTGGAAGCACCCTCCCAGTGTCAGAGAACAATTTCAAGTTCCGTTGAAGCCAATAATAAAAAGTCGTTGATTTCAGCTGGAATGGAAGTTGCTTAGGGCACAACCCTGTAGCTGTTGTATGGGGTAGATTTGGGATCTTGGGCCATCTGAATGCACAGCAGCTGCAGAAGAAAACTGTAACTGAAATGAGGTGTAAATGAGTAATATCTTTAGTTTAGATGTCAGGCTGTTTGCTACCACTGCTTCTAAACAAATTGCCTGGGAAACGCAGACACTTAGGAGGTAGATCATGTTTTATTCTGACTATGTGCAAGTTTTGCAGTCCCTGGAGATGCTCATAAACCAAGTGCCATCCAGCTGGGCTGGCGTGGCAGGGGGTGGGGTGGCAGCCCAGCCAGGGGCCATTCCTGCATGCAGCCAGCCAGCTCATGCAGCAGCAAAACGGTTGCAGCTCTATTTAATCTGATTCCAGAATCCTGGTGTTAAAAAAAGCAAGTCTTCAGCCCCAGCTGACATGTAGTGAAGGAAGTTAAACCCTGGCCAGCATTTTTTGTGTTGCAATGACTGGTTTTATTCAGTAACTCTCCCTCAGTCACCAAAGGTGCTGGGGGCTCTCATGCTTGACCTTAAGGTGATGAGATGGTCAAGGACCATCTTCCTAAGGTGTTTTTTTTTTTTTTTTTTCCCTAACTGCTGAAAAAAAGGTAGATAAGTTTAGCAGCATCTCAGTCATTTTATCTACATTCACCAAAACCAAGAGTGTAGTGGTTTGGATTTTTCTTTTTCTAGTTTTAGAATGGCCTTCTGTAAAGCCTGGTGTTCTACACAGCCGGTGCTTTCCCCTCAGAGCTTTCCCAGGGTGCCTTTGCCACCAGTGATGCTTGGCTGTGGACAGGTTTATTTTGTGACACCAAAGGCCCAGGGGAAGTCAGTGGCCAAAAGAAACCCCTCATGGCCTTGGAGGCAGGCAGGGTTTCACCCGCCGAAGGGTGGGCCATGGAGCAGCCACCGCTGCGCAGCCGGGGGTGCCAGGGCCGGGGGGGGACAGCTCTGATCCACCAGTGGGACACTGAACACCACGAGTGTAGCTACTCCAGCTAGGACTCAGTGTCAAGTAGCCTGTTGTCTGTCTGTCTGTCTGCTCCTCGCGGCCGGCCTGACGGCGTGGCTCGTTTCTCTTAGGACAAGACGAGCGCCCTGAGCCTGAGCAATGTCGCTGGGGTGTTCTACATCCTTGTCGGAGGCCTGGGGCTGGCCATGATGGTGGCACTCATCGAGTTCTGCTACAAGTCTCGGGCCGAGTCCAAGCGAATGAAACTCACCAAGAACACGCAGAACTTCAAACCTGCTCCTGCCACCAACACCCAGAATTACGCTACCTACAGGGAAGGCTACAACGTGTACGGCACAGAGAGTGTGAAAATCTAGGGGTATGGCTGCAGGCCGGGAACTGACCCCTCGGGGTTTCCTTTCTTTCTTTCGTTTTTGAACCTGTGTGTGATATTTTGGGGGGGTGCATCCGTGGACTGCTGCAGGAGGGCTTTGAAACATCGTCTGGTGGCAGGCTGAGAGTATAAGTGATTTGAAGTAAGCCTGTAATCCTATATTGCAAACAGGGATAGCTGGTTTCATGCTGGAGTGAGTACGAAATGAGTAACTCCTCTCTCCAGCATTGCGCTAGTTCAGCACGTGTAGAAGTATTTTGTTAATTGCTTAAAAAATTACTGTTATCAGAATTTGCATCAGTCTTGCTAGCGACCTCTTCCCCTTTATTCTTCAAGCTGTAATCAGGTCAGGTAAGTGCTTTTAAGAAGCCTTAAAAAAAAAACTACACTAGAATGAAAAGCCTACACTAGAATGAAAAATCTACACTAGAAATCATGATTTCTAAAGCATGAAAAGTAGAGTTGAATTGCTGAAAAGCGACTCTGGGAAAGCCTGGTTAGCACATCACCCACCGACTGTGCCTCTCCCCAGGCTGAGCTTCCCTGCCCCTGCTGCTGGGCAGTGATGAAATCTTTCTGGTTTTATTATAGATCCTCACCCTGACAGCACGCAAGAGGAGAAGCAGCAGAGAATGTGGCTACTTCACGATTTCGGACCATCTGAGCCAGTCGTACTCTCTCCGAGGTGTCAGGCATGACACGCATTGATGATGGTGCAATGTACTTTTAATAGGAAAAACTGATATTTTTTTCCTTCAGTGCCTTATGGAAGACTCTGAGACTCACAACAATGCAAACCATCACCGAAATATTCTCGCTTTGCTTGAAAGAAGTAAAAGGAAAAGAAATGGAAACAAAGAAAATGCAAAAGAAAGTGGGAAAGATAATAGAAATTTGAGAAGGAAAATAAAAGAAAATGAAAGAAAAAAACAAAGGAAAAGAAAAGAGGAGAGAATAAAGAGAATAAAGAAAAAAGAAAAGAAAAGAAAAGAAAAGAAAAGAAAAGAAAAGAAAAGAAAAGAAAAGAAAAGAGAAAAGAAAAGAGAAAAAAAAAGAAAAGAAAAGAAAAAAGAGAAAAGCGAAAAGAAGAAAGAAAAGATAGAAGAGAAGAAAAAAGGAAGAAAAGGGAAAACAAGAAAAGAGGGAAAGAAGAAGGAAAGGAAAGGAAAGGAAAGGAAAGGAAAGGAAAGGAAAGGAAAGGAAAGGAAAGGAAAGGAAAGGAAAGGAAAGGAAAGGAAAGGAAAGGAAAGGAAAGGGAAAAAAATTAAAGAGAAAAAAAAGGAAAAAAAAAGAGAAAAAGATAAAAAAGGAAAGGACTGGTAACAAGACACTAGTGTGTGAAAAAAAATTCTTGTAAAAAAATCAGTGCAACAAAAGCCATTCTTTGATACCACTGCACAGTAAATGAACTTGTGTCCTGGGAGCGAACCGCGGCCGGTCTCCTCAGCCACCCCGATCGCATCACGTCGTGACACTCCTCCTGACACAAAGCCTCAGAAACCTGCTGCGTGCGAACACGGACTGGCCTGTCACTGCTTGTACGAGCTGATGTCAAGATGTTTCAGTATTTACTTACCAGTGCTGTGAGTTTTCTCTTTTTTTTTTTCCGAGCCACTTGAAACTCTACAGCTGATTTGAGCAATTCTGTGCCCCGGTCAGAGCTGTAACACCTGAAGAAAAGAATCTGTGCGTTAAGCCAGGGGAGGTCAATGACTGTGAATGTGTAAATCCAAAAGAAAGTGATTTGTGGAACTGCATGTCTTGCTTCCAGATCAGTCAGTTAATTTCTTGACAAGGTAGCTAAAGTGCGGGCAGAAAATATTGCATTCCTATTTGGTTTTGTTTTGTCCTATCATCAGGCATACCTACAGGTGCTTTATTCAAACGACATTGGGTGGCTTTAAGAAGAAAAAATAATAAGAAAAGCTACTTGCTGTTTAGGTTCAGACCATATATCTCTTTTCTTGCTGTGCATTTGCATTTGAATTCACTGTTTAATATCAAGCAATGAAGCAAGAGAAGGGCAGGTTAGTTTTCCCCAGGGCTGCTTCTGCCTCCCCCAGTTGCCCCACAACTAGCACTGTGCTCAGCTAACGCTTCTCGGGTCCAGGCGTTTGAAACCTGTGAGGAGAGAGGTAGTAACTCCAATTAGAGCCGCAGTTCCAGAGTTGTAGTAAGCGATCTAACATGACTCCTGCTAGTACTGTTATATTATATCAGCTCCTGCCAACTCTTGTTTCATGGCTACTGGTGAGAGGCTGCTCCTGGCCGTGCCCTCTCAGTTCCGCCCGACACTACTACGGGTAGGGGCTCGCTACTACTCACACCCAACCTCTTAGACAGCAGCAGCGTTTTCAGCCTTGAGCCTCTGCCTGGAAACTACTTAACTTCATCTTTAAAAAGAATAAAATAAAATCAAAAGACAAAAAAAAAAAAAAAAAACAACAAACCTTTAAACATATTGTCAATCCCATGGGAAATGTTCGATGGAATATCTGCATACTAATTACCTCTAATCGACAATATGTATTTTCTGTAGTTTACTATAGGGTTTTATTTCATCAGTAACATACAAGGAAAAAGAAACTCATTTAAACCAGTCTGACCCTTAGGCATTTAGTTTGCTGATGATAGATTTGAACTTTTACTAGGATTTAAAAAAAAAAAAAAAGAAAATTTTAAAAAAAAAAAGAAAAAGATTATATGGGGAAAGTCTTGTTAAAAATAAGTATTTCCAACAAAATGTAATATAAAAGAATTTTAAAAGCTCATAGGAGAATAATTTATTGTTCGAGTTTTTAACAGGATATTGAAAACAAATTGATGTTTTGTTTTCATTTTCTTTCCATGAAACTGTGATTTAATTTTTCTTTTTCCAACTTCTGAGCGCGATTACGTCCCCAGCAAGGGCGAGCTAAAGCTGTGCGGTTATGAGTTGTATTTAAAACAAACATTTTTCTTAAAAGCTGTATAAAAGATGTATGTTTATCAGATCAATTTTTAAGAGTGGAGGCTTCACAACCAGTGAAGGGAGTTTGCTAAATGGTTCGATATTTTTTAAACTTGCATGTAAAGCTAAAACAAAACGTGTCGAGTGCTTACCAATTCCAGCTACCAACTTCAAGCTATCTGAAGTTTGGCAGTAGTCTCACGATGATTTGTTTCAGTATATTCTTTTTTTTTTTCATTTGTTCTGCTTTGGGGGATTTGGGGGTTCTTTCCTTTTTTTTTTTTTATTTTTTATTTTTTTTAATTTAAGTTCCTGGTTTTGGTCGTTGAAACTGCACTTCAGTGAGCAGAAAAATTGCCAAGCAAACTAATGGCTGTAAAAGCAAAAACTGCATGTGTGGGCATCAATTACTGAGCCTCATTTTAATGAGGTGTTGTACAAAGAGTTTTAATACCTTTTGTAAATAAAACTGTAAAGAAAAAAATAAAGAGCCCGCTGATCTTTTCACTGGAGGGAAGAGAGAGTCCCTGCCTACTGATGGCCCTTTGGCCAAGCAAGCCTGTCCCTCTATTTGGGGTTCCCTACAGGTATTTGATCAAAGAATCATAGAACACCAGGGTGGAAGGGACCTCAAGGATCACCTGGTCCAACCTTTCTTGGCAAAAGCACAGTCTAGACAAGATTGTTTGGATGAATCTTAAGTGTCCAGTGTTGGGGAATCCACCACTGCTTTGGGGAGATCATTCCCATGGCTGATTGTTCTAGGTACAAAAAATTGTCCTCTCGTGTCCAATTGGAATTTCCCCAGGAGTAACTTGTACCCATCACCCCTGGTATTCTCCATGTGACTCCTTGTAGAAAGGGAGTCTCCGTCTTCTTTGCAGCCACCCTGTAAGCACTGGAACCTGGTGATAAAGTCTCCCCATACCCTTCTTTCCTCAAGGCTGAACAAACCCAGTTCTCTCAGCTGTTCCTCACATGGCAGCTTCCCAGTCCTTGGACCATCTTTGTGGCCCTCCTCTGGACCCTCTCCAGCCTTCCCACATCTTTTTTTGAACAGCAGGGACCAACACTGAACACACTATTCCAGTTGGGGCTCGACAAGCAGTGAGCAGAGTGGGGTAAGGACTTCTTTGTCTCTGCTGCTGATGCCCTTGCTGATGCAGCCCCGCATCACGTTGGCTTTCCTTTCTGCTGCAGCACACTGTTCACTCCTATCGAGCCAGCTTCCCCAGGCCCCTTTCCACACAGCTGCTCGCCAGCTGGGTAGATCTGGTGCTTGTACATGAGTGCAGCAGCAGGGCATGGGCTGCATGGTCCCACATGGCATCAGCCAGGTCTTCAGCAATGGGAAAACAAGCTCAGGAATAAGCAAGGACTAAGTAAGAGCAATAAACTGCAATTATTTGACCTTCCTACAAGGCTGAAGGTTTCAGGTTGGTTTGGGGGGGTGAGAAGAGCACTGTGCTCAGCACCACTGGGCTCCACCAGCCCTTCCCATCCCAGTAAGGAGACAGATGCACCTCCCTCACCTTGGCCTTGGGGGAGCCCTTGATGAAATGAGTCTATTTATATCTAAAGCTCCCACACGATGCATGCAGAGAGGCATGAAAAAATGTCTTGTTCTGTCCATAGCCTTCATTTCATGCTCAATGTCCAGGCCAACATGGGTGGGTTTGGCCCACTCCGCGCTGCCAGACAGCCACACGCAGCCCTGCAGCACCACGAGGGTAAGCAATGCACCCTTCCCCATCTACCTGCCAAAATGTGCTGCTCCAAGCAGGGCTTAAATCACCAGCTGAGCCCCAGCACCAAGCTGGGAGGGTGTGGGTGAAATGGGAATTCCAGCCTGATTGATAGGCACCCCTGAGCCTGCACAGGCAGCTGGTGTGATGCTGCCCCAACAGGGTCCAAACGGGCAGCAGAGCCTCCAAAACAGATTAGGTTGTGCTAATGAAGATGGATCAGCACCCATCGAGCTGGCAAAGCCTGGGTGGGGGACCAGCCCAGCCCCACATGGGACCATGGCCACAAGGACAAGATGCAGGAGTGGGTCCCACCATGGCCGTCCTGGGGCTGGTGGGGCCCCAGAGCCACCCTTGGCTGTAGGACAGCACACGTTGGACCAAAACCTGGACTTTGCAACGTGCACTGCAGCAAAGGCAGTGTTCTAACGTGTCCCAAAGTGACTTGGCCTCCAGACTCTACGAGGAAATTAATGTAAGGAAAAATTCCAGGTAATTCGTCCCGTTTCCAGAGACATCAATAGGCGTAAAATGACCTCAACAGTCACCATGTTCAGACCTTTAAAAAGAAAAACAAAAATCCAAACCCATAGCAGCTCCTCCTCACAGCAAAGAGCACATCTGATTAAAAGAAAATAAAGTAAATAAGAAGCTATAACACAACCACCACTGTATTTTTTTTTCCAGTTTTCCTTCCAAGGTTTGGTGCAAAGCACTGCAACGTTTTAAAAAAATTATTTATGGTTATTAAAATAATAACAAGTCATGGTTATTAAAATTAAATTACAAAATGGCTTTGGTGCTCGTATTCATCATCTCAGGCTGGAAAATTGACTCTATTTCGCAGGCAGCAATACATAAACAAGCTCTGGATAATGATAGCTCTATTCAATTAAACTAAAGGATTTAAGTACAGAGATAATATTTTCATGGATATTATCAATTTCAAAGTAATATTAACTCAGAAAATAATACATCTCAAATTGGAATCAGTGCCCTCAGCAGCAGCAGCAGCAGCACTCACACCCTGGCACACCATTGAGCTGTGCTCCATGCCTCTGCAGCACAAGGGGTGAGGGCTTTGGGTTAAAGGAGGGGAGATTTAGGCTAGATGTAAGGAAGACATTTTTGGTGCTGAGGGTGGTGAGACACT